CACAGTAATGGGGCGTTCACACCAAACGTGAGTAAAGCCATTCAAGCAAATGAATTACATGTAAAACCAATGCAAAGACGTGATTAGACGCTTGTACTAATCTGGCATCACAAACGACGCAAATTGGGCAAGTCATCCTGATGAGAATTCGTGAGGGTTGAAAATATCTCAACTCAAGCAAATATTTGCGTCGTGATAAACAATCAGCATGAAGACTTCCAGGTGACGTATGAAAACGGACTGGAAGATGTTCACTGGTATAAAAATACAGACACAAATCCTTTCAGACACAGTATACAGACGGAAAGACGCTCTGCAGCTGGGCTAAAGCACCTGTAATTGGTATTCTGGAGGAATATCCTGGCATTAATTGGAGCCTTGGCGTCCAGTTTCGTCACCAGGCCTCCATTGCACTGGAACTGATTTATCAACAACTGGCTTTTATTCGGTGTGTATCCGGCTACACTGATCGACCAATACCCACACGGATTAAATAAACACCCCCGGTCACATCGGCCACGGCTGGAACGCCGCAAGAGAGACTTACCTGAGATTTCCACCAACAGCAGGCCCTCTTCCGGGGCCCTTGCCGGTAGGTCTCATCCCGTGTTGTCTGATCTGCTACCTCTCCATCCGGCTGTGCCAGCTGCGCCTGACTGGCGGAAAAGATCCAGGAGCTGGAGAGAACGATCTCCACCGTCTACCAGATCCAGGAGGCAGAGAAACTCATGGACACCATCATCTTCAGAACACCACATCCCAACTCCACCGGCTCATGGGATCCAGACCCCGCCGCTCCCAACACCTCTCCTCTGGCTGCTGCGACCACCTCTCCTCCGCCTGCTCATCCATCCCTCTCCCCTGACGTCTCCTCGACAAGGCTGGGAGCAAAACCCAAGGCTAAACCAGAGCCTCTGGCTAGCTCCACTCCATCTCTGCAGGAGCACTGGTCCCACATCACCGCCTGCACCGGGAAAACAAGGCTCCCACCTCAGGCTCCCCTCTTCCACCTCCACCTGGAGAACAGGTTCGACACCCTGGACCTCCATGACTTCCCCCCGCTGCCCGCGGGATCCCAGCCGATGTCCACCGGGCTGTCTCACGGGTCCTCCAGCTCTCCGCCGTCCCCGTCCCGTCCGCCTCCCATGTCCGACCATCCGCACGCCGGGTCCCTCTGGTGGCGCTCGATGCCGTGCTTCACACCTGCACCGCGGCTGGCCTTTGTCCCTCCCTGTCTCGTCTTCGATGTCCTCCTCGGCGAGTTCCCCCCCTCCTCCGACATATTCCTCTCCGGTCACACAGTCTCCACGTCCACTTTTCCCTCCGACGACTTTAATTGTGGGCGACTCAATGCTGAGAAACATCCGCTTTTTTAACGCTGTCACGCGGTGTTTCCCTGGTGCGAGGGTCCTTGACATTTTAACACTCCTCCCCACTCTGTTAAAATCTCTCCCAACTTCCTTCCAGAGAATCATAATCCATGTCAGTAAAAATGACACGTCCCTCCATCAGACCGAGCTCACGAAGGACCATTTTACCCAACTTCTTAACTTCCTGAAGAACTGTGAACTGTCTGTTTTTATCAGCTGTCCCATTCCCGCTTCTGGTTGTGGGTGCGGGCGCTTCAGCAGAGTGCTCAGCTTGCACACCTGGCTCCAATCTGCCTGCCAAGCCCAAAGCTTTGCCTTCGTGGACAATTTTAATCTTTTTTGGAACCGTTCGTCCTTTTTTAAACTGGATGGTATCCACCCGAACACCACAGGTAGCCGCATATTAGTGGCTAACCTGCAGCACACCATACACTGTTCACCATGTGACTGACTATTTACTCCCCCCCCACACACACACACACCCCACTGTTGACAGGTTCTCCCCAGACCTCTCCCTGCTGGCAAATTCTGTCACCGACTCCCTCTGCCACAGGTCTTCCCGTCATCTTTTCCCCACTCCCAAATAATCACAGTAGCATCCAACTCCTCCCTATTCCTGTCCAGATCACCAACAGACACCACTCTAATAGAAACACCACCCGGACTGTCAATCACTCTGTTTTAGCAAGCCCATCCATGCTGGCTCCCATCCTCACCAAACATGACAATACCTCTGTCAGCTTCGGACTTCTCAACATCCGCTCACTCACCAACAAGGGACACATCATCCACAATCTCCTCACTGACCGCAAGCTGGACCTCCTCTGCATCACTGAAACATGGCAACAACCAAGCCACCAGCAACCAGCCACCACAAGAAGTGGAAGGTTCTACTGCTGACCCTGCCTCTCTTCTCCTCATTCGAACTTCTGGCACTTACACTCCCTGGAACCACTCCCACCATAATCGCCACCATCTACCGCCCCCTCACCGACTTTTCTGTTCTACTCACCCATCTATGCACACTCTCGCCAAACACAATAATACTGGGGGACTTCAGTATCCACGCTGACAACACCAACCTGCCCCTCACCAGAGACTTCTCATCATGCCTGGACAGTTTTGGACTCCATCAATTCATCAACTTCCCGACACACACTAAAGGACACACTCTGGATCTACTCTGCTGCTCTGGCCTCATCCCATCCAACTGCACAGCCGATGATCTCCATGTAAGTGACCACCTCCTCATCTCCTTCAGTATTCCTCTCTGCCTCTCTAGAATTAAGTCACCACACCTCATTTCATTCCGCAACCTTAAGAACATAAACATTGACACTCTGTGCTCTAACATTAACAATATTTTGATCCTGGACTGTTCCGCTACCCCTGATGAAATAACATCCCATTACAACACCTGTTTAAATAACATCCTCAACTCCCTCGCTCCAGTCAAAACACGCTCTGTTTCCTTCTCCACAACTGCTCCCTGGTACACCCCTCATTTCCGCTCCATGAAAACCAAAGGACGCCAACTGGAAAGACTTAACAAGAAAACTGGACTCTCCGTTCACAAAGAAATGTACACTAACTACATCCACCGCTACAAGGACTCAATTTCTCAAGCCAAGACAGACCACTACTCCGCCCAGATCATCTCCAACAAAGGAAACACCAGATCACTATTCACTCTCCTCAACAAATCTCTCCAGCCACCGGACTCCCTCCCCACCTGTATTCAACCGACACCTGCAACACCCTAATGCAGTTTTTTAATGATAAAATCTCCAACATCCACCAACCTCTGCACTCAGGCTCTCTCCCCCCTGGACCCCCTCCCACCCCACCAACTTCCCTTCCACACCGTCAGTACTTCTCCAGTTTTCCTCTCCCCGACGACACTGAAATCTACGATCTCATCCGGAAATCCAAACCCTCAACCTGTCAGCTGGATCCCCTTCCCACCACACTGGTCAAATCATGCCTCCCGTCTGTGCTTCCTCGCATTTCTGCCATTATTCACTCCTCACTCACCATTGGAACTGTTCCTGCATCCCTCAAGACTTCAATAACTTCAACAACCTCCGCCCCATCTCCAATCTACCATTCACAGCCAAAATACTGGAAAAGGTCGTCGCCAGCCAACTACACACCCACCTAGCCCAGAACTCCCTCTATGATCCCTTCCAATCTGGTTTCCGCCCCCACCACAGCACAGAAACTGCACTGCTAAAAATCACCAACGACCTTCTCACTGCAGCTGACTCCGGTTCACTTTCCATCCTCATCTTCCTCGACCTCAGTGCAGCCTTCGACACCATCTCCCTTCCCATCCTCCTCCGTAGACTTTCCTCCATCGGCATCACCCACACCCCCCTCCACTGGTTCCACTCCTACCTCTCAGACCGCACACAGTTCAACCAGCTCAAATCCTTCAAGTCCGACCCCTTCCCAGTCTGTTCAGGTGTGCTGGGGCCCCTGCTGTTCATCACCTGCCTCCTCCCCCTTAGTTCTATCTTCCAAATTTAACATTCAATATCACTGCTATGCGGACGACACCCAGCTCTACCTCTCCAGCTCACCAAACTGTATCCTCCCACCCACCTCCCTCATCACCTGCCTATCCGAAATTAAATCCCGGTTCACCGCCAACTTTCTCCAATTAAACAGTCAGAAAACAGAAATTCTTCTAGTAGGTTCCAAATTCACCCTATACAAAGTTGACAGTCTCTCCCTTCCCATCGACAGTTCCTCAGTTTCCCCCTCCCCTCAGGTCAAGAGTCTGGGTGTTGTCCTTGACAGTACTCTTTCCTTCAAATCCCACATCAGCCTTACCACTCGGACTGCCTACTTCCATCTCCGCCACATCGATCTGCTCCGTCCCTCCCTCTCCCCCAACACCACCTCCATCCTCGTCCACAGTCTCCACATCGCCACATCGCCACTCCATCATGACGCCTCCGATCCTCTTCCCCTCTCCACCTCACTGTGCCCCTTGTTCACCTCAGCACCATGGGGGGCAGAGCTTTCAGTCACTCTGCCCCCCGACTCTGGAACTCTTTACCATCACACATCCGCAACATAGACTCCCTCCCCCTCTTCAAGTCCAAACTCAAGACACACCTGTTTAAACTGGCCTATCCATCCCACCACCCCTACCTCACTTTTTTTTTTAATTTAATTGTAATAAGTATTATTTATTTATGTATTTATTCCTTTGCTGTTGTTTATGTCAAATGTTTTAATGTTGCTTTGTTGATTTTAACTGTTTTGATGATTGATGACTTTAATTGTTAATAGTGTTTTATTATTGTTTTATATGTTCTGTAAAGTGTCCTTAAGTGACGTGAAAGGCGCTTCAAATAAAATGTATTATTATTATTATCATTATCATTATTATTTAAAACATTAGAGGTCATATTCTTACAGTGGTTTATTGATCATTTCTTATAGATAACTCCTTATCCTCTAAGGACGCCTCCCACCCCTGAAGAAGTTACACATCCTGATCAGCTTGGAGGACTTCTTCTTTTTCTGCTGTGTGTCTTGGAGCTCTGCAGGGTCAGTCTGGAGGATCTGGCTGACGTCCTGCTCTGTCTGCAGTTCAGAGATCACCTCCTCATTGCTCTGTTACCTCAGCTCCTCCTTGTCTTCTAACATGTCCTCATCAAGAGTCTGTTTGTCCTGCCTCAGCTCTCTTTCACCATCTGGTATCTGTTTCTGCAGGATCTGGATCTCCTCTTCCTTCCTCTCTTGAAGCTGATCCTGTAACTGTTTTTGCGCCTCCTCTAAATGATCCAGCTTCTCCTGAACTTCGGAAAGAGTCTCCCTCATCATCTCAATCGTCTCCTGGACCTTTTCACTCTTGTTTTCCATCTCCTCCAGCCTCCTCTTCAGCCTCTTCAGCTGATACTGTGTCACCCTCTCTTCACTGAAAAAAATCTCCTTCAGGTGTTTCTCATGAGCCAGCTCCTCCCTGGTCTTCTCCAGCTCCTCTCTGAGCTGCAGCTTGTCCTCCTGCTTCTGTTGTCTGCTGTGGGTCTTCTGAAGTAGCTGGTTTGCTGATTCGTCCATTTGTCTCTGCAGAGACCTGGCTCCGGTCCTCTGTTTCTCCAGCTGGCTCTGCAGTTGCTGGACCCTCTCCTCCTGACTGATGATGTGGTTCATAGAGATTTGCAGCTGCATCTCCAGCTCCCCAACCTGCTTCTCCAGAACCTTCAGTCTCATGGCTGACTTGTAGGGTGTCAGTGGCCTCCCTGAGTCCATTTTTAGAAAGTAGATGCTCCACGTCAAACAAGTAGGAGTGATCTTTGTGAGTGTGTTGAAGAGTTGTTTACGTTTGGATGAAACTCTGAGTTGAAATCCTACTTTTGACCTACTGTTGTCATAACACTCACAGAGAATGGAGCTGAAGTATCGCCACATGTGTCTGTGTACTTTTAAAATCCATCACATATTAAGTCTCCTGGTAAAAAGTCTACAACACCAGAGCATGTTTTTGATTCTTCTTGTTGTTGTAGGTTGCCTAGCAACCTGAAGAAGAACCAAGTCACTCTGCCCAGTTGCTGGTTGCCCAGAAACAGAATTACTCAGAATAAAACAAAATCTTGTTACTTATTTTAATCATCAGTGTCATGTTGCAGCATCTCTGTGTAAGCTGTGGTTGTTTCACTCAGATGTGCTTAAAATGCAGAATTCAGACAAAATGAGGGGAAATGTTCATAGAAAGTGGAGTTTGCAGGTTTGCTTTAAGCAGTGTAAAAGTCCTTTCACACTGGGACAGTTTTTATCATTTTTTTTTTCATTCCTGTATCCTGTCAATAAAAGCATTCACATCAGCGATGTTTTCCTGTCCTGCGATATTGCAGCATTTATTTTTCGGATCACAGTTGATTTTTCTAAAGTTTCGCATACTGTTTGTCCACTTCTGACCAATCAGTTTGTGTGTTGTTGACATCTGATTCACGGGTATATCCAACATGGCCACCGGCTGATTGTTTACGTGTCGGAGAACAGAGCACCTTTTCATAAAAGACGCATACATTACAAAGATAACGACCTGAAGGATAGTTTGTGTGCTCTAACAGTTTGCTGAACGTCTTTGTTTTAACTTTAATCTGTGCTAAATAATTTGAGCTTTTAAGCTAACTGTTCATAAACATCATACCATATGTATTTTCAGTGTCTCAAACTCAATCGCATTGCTGTCACAGCACCAATAGATCTTGGTTGTTACCTTACGTTTATGGATTATAGTTTAATGTGTTTATCTGGTACTGGCCCCAACTCAGTACATGCTATCATGACAGACAGCCTTCTCAACACTAGTGTCTAATCAGAACTGAAAAACAGTCAGTCTGCTGTTGTGTCAGTCTTCTCGCTTCCACCTGGGACGCTTCTTTTTTTCCCCCTGGGAAGTCGCAAAATAGCATTGGGCTTGATGTGTATAGTCAGGCACGTCAAAATTTGCATTGTATATTATCGTCGGTCCCGGTGTGCAAGGACCTTAAGGCATCCATTTGCAATGTACACATGTGCTGCCTTGTCCGTCTGAAATCAGTGGGAAATTGCTCAGAATGAGACAGCAGCTCCATGAATCTGAGCTGGCTGATGGGAGGAGTGACACCGGGCTGTGAAGCTAAAGCAATACAGGTCACTTCTGTTTACCAGCATCAACTCCAAAAAATGGCACAATGCATACCCACTATTTTCACCCTAAACGTCCGCTTTGATCAACCCAGTTACCCACCAGCTGGTCCATTTCCAACCCTCCAGAGACACACCAGCAGTAGAAACATAAAGTTTAGTTCAGAATATAGATACTCTCTATTGTGCAGCTACTTCCCGCTGAACATTGTTATTCTCATGTCTGTGAGCTTGTATGTCTGCTGATATTAAAATTGCCCTCTCATCGCTGTGTTTGGCAGCTGCACAGCACATGCCTCTGCACCAGGACAGGATGCAAAACCACAGAGTCTGCAGACACACATGGAGAAGCCATGCAGCAGGCCATTTATCAGACATATAAAAGGCTCTAAAGCTACAGTAATGTATTTTCAAAGCTTTTCTGCAGCTCTTCAATAAACTACAGAAGTCCTGGTCTCAAGTTAGACGCCCTCTAATTTGCTTCCATTTTTTTAGTAGCCATTAATTAGCAGAGGCCTCTCTGACCAGCAGAGGACTGAAGGCAGAGCTTCAAAACATTTACTGAGAGCCCCAGTTGCCGTATGCGAAAAACAGCATGCCTGCTGTGATGCTAAGCTAACAGCACAGATCAGTATGAAGCAAAGGAGAGTGTCAGTTTGAGTGAGAGAAGGTTTGATTTCTGAAGGAACTCAGAGTCTTTGACGGTCATTTTGACTTTTTTTTTTAATCTTTGCATTAAATTTTGTTTGTCAATCTAAGAATTAACTGATCCTTTAATTTAGAGGTTTGAGAGTACAGCAGACATCAGGTGAGATGTGAAGGTAATTATTTCAGATAACTCAGGGTTTTGGCACTATTTTAAGACACACTGATCAGCTGTTAAAGTCTGCAGGTCTAAAAGAGACAAAAATACCACCCAGCTATTCAATGGGTGATTCATCTTTGAGTGAGCACTTCACGCTATCTCTTAGAAAATCGCTTTCTGAGGACAAAGTGAAGCTTTGATCAATGGCAGGCAGAAATGTGTGGCTAGTCAATGTAGATATCACAGATACATTAAAGTCTTGCATCCCTCTCAGTGGCACTTATTTGGTGTCAAGTAGAGAGAAAAAAATCTATTTTGCAGTCAGACTTACTTTGGGTTGTCGCAGCAGCCCAAAATAAATATTTGTTACTCTGTCAGAGGTGCTCTGCTGGATTCTCTTCAACACCTGTAGACTGTTTTTAGTGCTCCACCTGTTAGATGATTTTGTGCTTGTTGATTATCCACACTCTAAGCTCCTTCACAAAGATGTTAGACCTGCTACAGGTTATAGAATTTCTGGATATCACCTTAGATATCTGCCTGATGCAAGCCTCTCTGCCTCTGGAGAGATTCAATCATATCAGGGAGGTCATAAGGAATGCTCTAGATGCAGTGTCTGTATCAAAAAGAGAGCTGCTTTCTTTGCTTGGGCACATTAAGTTTGCTATGCACATTATCCTTCAAGGACATGCTTTTGTGTTAAGCTGCATAACTGAGAAAAACTGGACACTGGCTGCAGATTGGAGCTCTGATTCTGGTCTCTTCTGCTCAATAGATGGAATGGCATTTCATTTTTTTCCAGCAAGAACTTTGAATCTTCATTTGCTCTGAAGTTGCGCACAGATGCTGCACCTTCTGTCGTTTTTTTTTTCTTTTTTTTTTTTTTCAATAATCAGTGGTTGGCTGATGTGCGGCTAAAAGAAATAACCTCCTTGCTAGCTAACACTGCTTGCACTGCGCTGATGGAAATATATATCTAATGGTTATTGCATGTCTATTGTGGAGCAAAAACTGGTCAAGAAAAAATATTCTGTTCTTTTGTGATAATGAAGCTGCAATTAATATTAGCATGGGCCATCAGTCCCATTCATCAACAGATTTGGGAGGTGCCTGGTATGGACTTCTGTGATGAACAATTTTACTATGAGAGCAGTTCACATTCCAGGTTTGGATAATCAAATTACCGATTCTCTGTCCCAATTTAAATTTCAGAAATTTCACCACCTGTGCCAGGAGGCTGGCCCAACCAGCTTGACCTGCCCCCTGTTCATGCAAACAGTGTTCGATTAAGCTCAACCCTGCAGTCTTATATTTGCCCCACTGCTCACAAACAGTCCAAGTGTTTTTACTGTATTCAACCTTAGACAGCAGACATCAGTTCACTGTTCAGTGTCTCACCCTGTCTTGCTAAAACGGTCCTTCCTGTACACAGCGTTAGTGTCACAGTCAGATGTACATGTGTGAAACTCCACGGGCATTTCCATGGTCAGTTCCCCTTTTCTTTGTGTTTAGCTCCAAACAGGAAGTGAGGAGCTAAAAGGAGAACAAAGACTCAGAGAGCTCCAAAAATACCTCCTGCTCTGTCATTCCACAGATCTGCCCCTTAGAGATGAAAAGTCACATTCCTCTGAGCTGTTATTTGACCAAAAAAATAAGGGTGGAAAATGTTAGGTAACAGAGCTGGGAGGGTTTACATAAATGGTAAAAGTCGGTCAGATCTCTGAGAAACTGCCCACTGTCTGACCACGAGTCTGAGAGTCAGAGTGCAGTGGTTACATCACAGGGTGGACGTGACTCTGTGCCATGTAGAGTGGGCTGAAAAGAAGCTGTGAACATGAACATGGCTGAATGAATGAATGATTGTCTTGTCATGTTCTGACACTGTGGATCTGACATGGTGGTCTGAGGAGGAGAAAGAACATCCAGTATGGTTAATGAGCATCCAGAGTGAACACTGTGGCCTCGATTTCACTAAACCGCCCCAGTCATAGGCCTGAACACGTAACAACAGGACGTCTCAGAATATGTGCACGCAGAGATGAAAAAGAACAGGCTGCACTCTGGAGCAGCAGTTTAACCAAGCATACAGCTCATGGAAGTTTGTTTACCACTAAAGGTCCTTACTCACTGGGACTGTTTTTGTTGTGTGATTATTTCGGACATCAATATTTTTTTTCGAACCCGTATCCTGTCTATACAAGTGTTCACATCAGTGATGTTTTCCCATTCTGTGATATTGTGGCATTTATTTTTTCAGATCATGGTTGATTTTTCTAAAGTTTCGCAGACTGTGTGTCCACTTCTGACAAATCAGATTGCGTGTTGTTGTGATGTCTGATTCACCGGTATATCCAACATATCGAACATATCCAACCAGCTGAATGTTTACTTGTCGGAAACAGAGTGCATTTTGATAAAAGACACACATATTACAAAGATAACGACCTGAAGGACATCTTGTGGAGAGTCATAGTGTCGGATCTCTCATGTGGTGATGGTTTGTGTGCTTTAACAGTTTGCTAAACGTCTTTGTTTTACCTTTCATCTGTGCTAACGTAAGGTAACGGTTGTTACCATAGTTTCATGTGCTTATCTGGTATTGGCCCCGACTCAGTGCATGGTAGCATGACAGAAAGCCATCTCAACACTAGTGTCTAATCACAACTGAAAACAATCAGCGACTGTGGTACAGTTTCAGCTCCTGAACCAAGCAGTGAAACTCACCAAGTTCTCCTCTTTTTTTGTAATATTCGATGCACCCATGTGCTATGTTTCTTTTTCTTTTAAGAAAGCAAAAAGAGTACCAATTTGCCAT